GGGGGGAAGTTGGGGGAGGGGGTGCGATCGTCCCTATCTCGCGCCAGAACTACCAAAGAAGAAAGCGAAGTCGAAGAAAGGAGGTAGGAGGGAGGAGGGACGAGGGAGGAGGTAGGAGGGAGGAGGGAGGAGGGAGGAGGGAGGAGGGAGGAGGAAAGCTATGGCGGCGAGGAAGGGAGGGACCCTATGGCGAGAGGGGAGGGAGGAGGTAGGAGGTAGGAGGCAGGAGCCTGGAGGAGGGACGCAATGGCAAGGGGAGAGGGAGGAGGTAGGAGGAGGAGGCAGGCGATGGAGAGGGCGGTGGGAGGGCCGCTATGAGAGAGGAGGGGGGCTATGGTGGCCGATGACGTCGATGTGGTGAGGAGGGAGGGTGTCACGGAGAGGGGAGGAGGAGGGAGGCGATGGCGACCCATCGGTATATTGTAGAAGAAGAAGAAAAAGACGTTGGAGAAGAAGAAGAAGAAGAAGAAGAAGAAGTTGGAGAAGAAGAAGAAGAAGAAGAAGAAGAAGTTGGAGAAGAAGAAGAAAAAACGAAAAGAAGAAGAAGAAGAAGGAGTTGATGAAGAAACGAAAAGAAGAAGAAGAAGAAGAAACGAAAAGAAGAAGAAGAAGAAAAAACGAAAAGAAGAAGAAGAAGAAGAAACGAAAAGAAGAAGAAGACGAAGAATCGAAAAAGAAAAAGACGAAGGAGAAGAAACGAAGAAGAAACGAAGAAGAAACGAAAACGAAAAACACGAAGGAGAAGAAACAAAGAAGAAGAAAAGGAAGTAGAAAATGCAAAGAAGTAGAAAAGAAGAAACGAAGAAGAAAAACACGAAGAAGAAACAAAGAAGAAGAAGAAGAAGAAGAAGAAGAAGAAGAAGAAGAAGAAGAAAAAAAAGAGGATGAGGAGGAAGAAGAAACGAAAAAGAAAAAGAAACGAAAAAGACTTTAAAGAAGCAGAAAAGAAGAAGAAGAAAGAGAAGTTGAAGAAGAAGAAGAAGAAACGAGTAGAAGAAGAAGAAGAAGAAACGAATAGAAGAAAAAGAAGAAGAAGAAGAAGAAGTTGACGAAGAAAAAGAAGATTAAACGAAAAGAAGAAGAAGAAGAAGAATCGAAAAAGAAAAAGACGAAGGAGAAGAAACGAAGAAGAAACGAAGAAGAAACGAAAACGAAAAACACGAAGGAGAAGAAACAAGGAAGAAGATGAAAAGGAAGTAGAAAACGCGAAGAAGTAGAAGAAAAAACAAAAAAGAAGAAACGAAGAAGAAAAACACGGAGAAGAAACAAAGGAGAAGAAGAAGAAGAAAAAGAAGAAGAAAAGAAGAAATGAAGAAAAAAAAAAGAAGAAGATGAACACAAAGCTTACCTTCCTGTAGATGACGCGGCGCAGCACTCGAGGGAGTCGGCGGGAAGCAGGACAACGGCGCGGCAACAGGAGGACGGCGCGGCAACAGGAGGAGGCGATGGCGCGGAACGACGTCGAGCTCGACGGCAGCAGGACGACGATGGGCGGAGTGCTGCGGGCGGAGGGCTAGCGGGCACCGGGCGGGTGAGATCGGCCCAGGATTTGAATTCGAATCCTGGAAGGTGCGCGCGCCGTCGATCGTTGGCGATCGACGGCCAAAAACGAGCGAAAAAAAAAAACTTCGAAAAGGGGCATACCGGGCCCCGAAAAATTGAAGCGACGGCGGCAAAAAAAAATTGGCCCTATTGGCTGACAGGCGGTGGCGCGAAAATTTTTTTTTGCTGTCGTTTTCGGTACGGCGCTGATGGGGTCCGGGGGCCTGGCCGGGGGGGTTGCACGGCTGAGCGCCCCGGGCGCCCGGGGTAGGAAACCTAGGTGTTAAGTCATTACTCAATCTTGAAAATTGTCGATCCTTCTCTCCCTTTCATTGTCAATAGAAATGCTAATCAGTATAGAAGTAGGGCGGTGCTACATCAAGATGACGGCAAGGGATATAGACTCATGGAGTTGATGTCCAAGCGTCTTACGTTAGATAAAGTGGCTAACTCCGCGTACGAAAGGAAAGTGTATGCTCTGGTTGCAGCTTTGGACACATGGAAATACCACTTGCTCGAGAGACACTTCACTGTGTACTCAAACCACTCTACCCTGAAAGTGGATAAAGACGCAACGGTTTGCGTTCATTGACATATTCGATTTTGAATTGAAAACTATTAAAGGAAAGTCTAACGTTCCTGCAGATGCTTTGTCCACACGATCTGATTTTTTTGGAGCAATTGTCTCTTATCTCGATATTGAGAATGACCTGAAAAATAAAATATGTCAGGGTTACGTTGATGATCCAATTTGGAGTCCTATCATTGGAACCCTACAAAAGAACCCTGAACTATTCAAGAGTATGATTATTGGGGAATGCCACGACACAGAAGGACACTTTGGATTTAAGAAGACGTATGCTAATGTTAGAGAATGCTTTGAATGGAAAGGAATGAACAAGTTTGCGCTAACCTATGTGTGAACTTGTCTATTTGCCAAAGAAACAAGTTCTCACATGAGAATCCAATGAGACTTTGAAGACCACTACCTATTCCAAGTGAGCCTGGTGAGTCCATGTTGATTGATCTCATATCTCACCAAGAGTCGGAATGGCAACAGTCAGGTGATGGTCATGGTTGATCGATTCTCTACATATGCTATGTTCATTCTTTTGCTTGCCGAAGCAAGAACGGTTAAGAGTCTCAAGTCAACCCCGAAGGAGCACATGAAAAGGGAGTCCCAGTCCTGTTCGTTTTGCAACAAGTACCAGAGTGGGACTGCACATCTTGAGGGTCTCA